TTTCCTCGTCCCGTGGGGGGGCCCAGCCTCGCCAGGGCCTGTGGCCAACCCCTCCCCCGCGGCTCCGGCTCACCTTTGAGCAGTGCCTGAAGAATAGCCACATCCACATCCTGCAGGCCGTCTTTGCCCTCCCGGAAAATGGTCAGGAGCTGCCTGCTCCGCACTATGTCTTGGATCTGCAAGGAACGGCGGAGGATCAGCCGTCTGCCGCCGGCAGCAGCTCATGTGGGGCGAATGCGCTGCCCGGAGATCCTGGCTGGGCTGCCCCATTGCTGCTGCCTCGGTATCTGCAGGCCCTTAGATCCACTGAATGTGAAATCCCCGTCCACGGCCCGCCACCTCCTGGGAACGCACAGGGAGCCTGCAGGTGAAATCACGCCCTCCCCGAGACGCTGCCAAGGCTCCCCCCAGCTGCAATAGGGCCAGATTTCACCCCGTGTCTGTCCTCAGCAATGCCTTGCCCCCATTGGGCACACTCACCGTTACACGCTCAGGGCTGTTGCACACAACTTGCACGCTCACACGATGGGGGGTTGTGGGTGTATCCAGGTGTACACAGCCTGCCTCCCCCTCCCCGCTGCGGAGGCACAGCTAAGGCCTAGAGCACTTCCCCAGTCTCTCATGCTGGGTCCCCCCCCGTGGCCTGCGTGGGACCGCGATCCCTGGAAGGGTGACGCGTTGCCCGGCCCCGTTAGCTGAGTGCTCTGGGGACAGGGTGGGAGCTGCTCACCTTTTTGGTCCACTCCACCAGCCTGCCCTCGGTGAAGAGCTCGTCGGTGTCCCGGAAGAGGGCGTTGAGCTTCTGCCGCACCAGGGCGATGGTGATCTCCGGGACGGGCCGATGGGCCACCTGCGCGATGACGTCGGCCACGCGCCCGGAGCCCTCCACGACCACGCAGGGGGTGCCCTTGGTGATGGCACCGTGGACCGTCTGCAGCCCGCAGCGGCAGGGAGAGAAGCCAGGCCCGCTCGGCTCAGTGGGAGCCTCTCCATTCGCTCTAGCTTAGACACAGCCCCCCAGCGGTGACCCGACGGCCTCCCCCGGCAGCTCCGGTTCCTGCCTGGTCTGCGCTCCAGCCCGTCTCCCCCATGTACTCACCTCGAGGGTCCCGGGCCCTCCCTCCAGCACCACACAGACGATGGGGATCTGGATGGCGACTCCTGCAAGGAAGCCGGGACTTGGGTCAGCTCCGTCGGGAGGCAGCCCTCTCCCAGCTCAGCCGCCCTGCTCAGAGTGGCCAGGCCGGCTCTGCCCCTGAGAGCTGAGCCGAGGGATTTCCAGCCCCCCGAGATCCACTCGTGGGAGGCGCTGGCTGGGGGGAAGGGCAGGTCTGGCCCCACTGCCCCGTGCCGCCGTTACCTCCTTTCACCTTAGTCTGCTCGGAAATGAAGCGCTCCAGCCGGGTCCGCAGGGGGATCTCCACGCCGTACCGGCCGTGCGTCCCGTCGTCCACCAGGAGGAAGTGGGAGTGGTTG